TATATATATATAATTATAATATCTTTTTAGATATGCTTTGTGAATGGGAGCACATAACAAATATATATATTCAGGTGTTTTCTCAGATTTTTACTGCATAAGTGAAATACACATCATTGTTCTATGTTTGCATTATAGTATTTTCTGTCTGACCAATAACTTAAACCTTTGTAACAAGTAGAACAGTAAACCTTAGCTCTGCCCTGTGTTATGGGAACATGTACCTCTTTACTCCTGGATTTAACAGCAGGACCAGATAGAACACTGTTTATCCAGTGGGTGAACACTTCTTGTTCACTTTAAATTGGTGCCCACACTCACTGATGGAGAATATGGTAATTCTAAAGAAAATCTGCAAAGCACGAAAGCTGGGGTAGGAAACGTCAGCACTCCAGCTGTTGTGGCAGTCCCATGAGGCATTTCAAGACTTTAGTGCAGGGGTAGGCAACAGTCATATATGTGTGTGGCTGTCAGACGGCCACATGCATGACTGTTGCCTACCCCTGCGCTTAAGTAAACATGATAAAATGGAGCAAAAATATGCAATTCTGGGGGATCCCTTGGTCGTCCTGGAGAGTGCTGGCAAAGAAAGGATTCTGTATCCTAAATGCTGGGTGACATGAGGGTGGTACAACTGAATAATATAGCTGTTGTGATATAGTTAGGTGATGAGGCATTCTAAAAAAAGACCCTGCAATAAATTATGAACAGCAATCAAGATCATAGGTAGGACATTTTTATGATGGAGGCATATGACTGATGTAGTATACAAATTTGTTTGAGCAGATGTCATAAATTATCATAGGGAACTTTTACTAAGAAAATACAGTTTTGCCATACGAAACAAAAAAAGGACAAAAAGGCCTAATTTGAAAAAAATAAAAAAATGTGTTGGCCAATAGCATTTGAACAGTTTGTCCCCTGTATGTTAAATGTATTTTCTATTTCAGGAAATGTCTGATATCAAGCAATTCATTGAGAAGCAGATACCCCCAAGTTAACCGACACTTCATTATGCCTTTTTGAATATGCACCAGCAACAGTCACTATGCTCCTCCTTAAATTCCTTCAGTAAGGAACCTTCTAGTTATTCAGATACGATGCAGTCATTAGGGTTGGGATAATCAACATGGTTACCAAGGATTTACTGATTTATTTTGGTCAAACATAGGAAATAAAAGACCACGTTAGAAAAGTATAGTTGACTGATTTGCTATATTATTTATAGCATTGTGAGGGCTATTTCATGAGGTAGAAGCGGAGGACTTTGAATACTGTTGACAGATGGTCGGTCTATACGTGCGTATAGTATAACACAAACCTCCTAGTTTTTGTTTCCAGTTCTGTGTTCATGTTGTGCATTAAAAATGCAGTACATTCTTGTTCAGCTTTTCTAACCTGTTGTACATTTCTACAATAAAGTTACATAAAAAGGTTTAAAATGTATGGGAAAAGTCCGTATTTCTGTCATCACAACTAGACTTAAAGGTTATTGGGATCCTTCAGCTGTTCTTTGGTAGGCAGAATGTTGGCTGCGGTTTAATAGCATAACAGGTATATATGTGCCCATAATTTCCGTCTTAGGCCACAGGTTCTTTCATTATCAGCTGGAATGTTAGTAAATCATCTTACAGTGTCATAATTGGAATACTAAGGACCAGATGCAGTTGTGATGTAGTCCGTTCAGTTTCACTGCTACAGCCAAAATACATCACAATGCTTTCCTATGGGCTTTCTCGTGCTGTATTCACACCGTTGCAGTCCGTTCAGATGCAGTCAGAAAAAGTACTGCTTGTCCTATTTTTAGCTGCATCTAACTGCACCGAAACGCATCAAAACGGAACGCATACAAAAAACGCGCCAAAACAGATCGCACTGCGCAGACGCACGCAGTTGTGATGCAGTTTTCTGGTGGGAACTAATCCTTATCAGTCACTTAGAACTTTATGTGCTGCCACGAGACCGAGAACCACCTTACCCTTCTTTGGATACCTGCAGCTTTTAATAAGCCGAGGTAAATGAGAAGTGAAGTACAACAGAGGTTGCAGGGACTGGCCATAGGCAGCCTTTTACTTTTCTATAGCTTGTAACTGGAGAATGTTGGCGCACATCTTTCCCAAGAATGATCAGGAAACTTTTAGCTTGGTAAAACTGAGATAAATCTACCACAGATATGGTATTTGAGAGACTTCTGAATGTACAAGTGATGTGTACTTCAGATGCTCCAGGACCACGAGCTGGATGTCTTGATTTGTGTCCAGGTTGAGCTGTATTACCTTTGCTAGTAGGGAGGACCGATTTGCCCAGAATTGAATACATTGCTAAACTAACGCATTGCAATGGATTGACTATTCATTAGTTTTATGTCCCACTTGTCCAAATGACTATCCTAATGGATAAAAGGTTGTTTGTTTTTTCTTTTGTGTTTTTTTTTTTTCTCCTTTTTTGAGGTGGATTGTTCTCTAACCTTTATAATTATGTTGAATACATAGTGTGTAGTTGATTCAAAGATGTGTATGTGCTAGACTCATGACCATAAATAAAAACTATTGTAAGCTATGCAGTAGGTCGGTTGATGTATCAGCCAGAACATTGGTGCTCAGTGGTGAGCTTTATTTAAGAGGGAACCTACCTTTTGGTGGTGAAAATGCATTAGTAGTAGACATTGAGGACTGGAATTTAGCCCCACTGACCTAGACAAACACTGTATTAAATAAAACGTTCTTGCTCTGCATATGTTAATCACAGTCAAGTAGTTATGATGCGTTATACCATTTAGCGCACATCATTTTTAGGTACTGTAGTGCTGGACCTGAATCTCAGAATAAGAGTTGAAGTACATTTGTGTAGAAAAATAAAGAAACTGGATTACAAATCAGTGTTTGGTTACCTGCCATTATTAGATGGCCGTAGCAGCAGTTGGATGAGAGATAGGAAATGGCCTATTCACACCAGATGCGTTGGGGCAGCGCTGGCCATTTTTTCCAGCACAGCTCCAATGCAAGACAGGGCAATTTGCTTTGTCATGAATGAGCACAAGTCATTCAGCGCATGCAGTACTTTTTTCAGCATATCGGGGTGCGACGTAATACAACCACCTCGCACCATGCTGTGCCCATAGAATATTGAAATGTCACAAGACATTTAATTACAAAGTTCTAAAAAGAAGGACAAAAAAGTGTTATCTGCCAAAATCGGCGCGGCTGGCCGATTTGTGCATCAGCTGGCGTGAATGGAGTCTAAAGTTATTGGACTAAAAGCTTTAAGAATAATCTACTTTTTGAAGTTCTTTGGAACTGATTTTCTAAGGCTCTTGTTTTGATGACATTGGGTGCACCTCCCTTTTTCTGAGCACTTATTACCACTCATTCCCCCTTGAGTCTGAGCATTCGGCAGTTTTCAAGTGATTTTTCAGACTTGAATGGTTTTGAATGGAAAACAAATTGCTAGGAGAAGGAAAAGACAATGGTTGGGTGCAAAATTGCTTGAAAGCATGTGGTGTTTCAAGCTTTTTAGGAACTCCTATCGAAGTCTATAGAGCCTAAAATGCACCCCAAAAGAAGCTCATGTTCCCATTCAAGGTACAGGTGACACAATGCTAGAGTGTGAATGGGCACTAACAAAAATAATGGGATTCTTTATGTTGAGCATTGTCAGGAAACACGTGACAAAAAGCTCAGGTGTGAATGGCAGCTAAAACAAAGCTCTGCTTGGCTGCGCCAGACAAATTGTAGTCATAGCCACGTTGCATTACCATTTGTTTAGCATCAGTCGTTTTTTCCTGTATTAAAAAAAAATGAGCTTGACTATGATTAACTGCATTAGAGCTTTCTAATAATTCTATGGGCAACTTTTACCTGACTATATAACCACAGTGGGGCTGGTTTTGGGTTTAAACGGTAAAGCCACAAGCATTTCGTAAGATCAGGGCTAGCGGCTCAACTTCAGTTCTCGAGGCCGACTAGCCAGTGCATGTTTTTCTCACCATCAGGTAGGAGCTGTATGAATAGGTCATGTGTGTAATGGTGGCCCACAAACTGGCAGCTTTGGAGCAGCAATATGCCTACCAGTTTCATTTTATAACCACTTTTGAGCTCCTGGTGATTAACCTAGAAGTGGAAACCGATTGAAAATACATTTGACCTAGTACTGCAGTGGTTTTGATTGATGTCCACTGCAGGTTTGATTGCTTGAAAGACAAATTAAACTGGGTGGCAGATTGCTATGGAAAACTCACTGTCAAGTGCATGGACAACATTAGAGAATAGTAATAAAGGGTAATTCCACTTTCCCAGGTGATAGAATTACCTGTCCAATCTAGACACCCCCCCAATACTTGCCTTTGGGCGAATGCTCCTTCCCCTCCTCCGTTGCTGGTGTACTATCCGTACCCCATACTGACGTGTAGTGCAGCTCTGCATTATGAATTTCGCCTGCAAATGGTGAGCACTCATTGACCAAGAGCAAGAAGTGCTTCTCATGGTCAGGTGGCCGCGCTGACCAATGAGTGCTCAGCATTTGGGAGGGAAATTCAAAATGCAGAGCACAGGGCTGCTTTACATGGCAGTATGGGGTACAGATAGTATACGGGCACTGGTGGAGGGGAAGGAGCGTTGGCCAAAGGTAAGTATAGCGAAGGGGGCCAGATTGGAGGAGGCAATTCCATTTTCCTAAATTCACCTGGGAAAGTGGAATTGCCCTTTTAAATATCATGTCTGAGCTGCTGGAGGGAATGGAATAAAATGCCTTGCTGTCAGTTGTGAGAACTGGCGTTGATACACTGGTTGCAGCTATATTCGATATATTTCAAGTCGGGGAAATTTCCTATGTAAGCCATATATTTTTTAATATTAGGTGTTTCAAATTTCAGATTGATTTTGTGTTTTTGTTTTTCAATGTGAATGGAGACTGTGCTTGTGCTGTATGTTCCCTATCAGAATGGTGTTTAGTAATTTATGATAGAAAATGTCTTTTTGTATGAGTATTCTCTCTAGAGGAAGACTGACAATTCATTATGATGAGGTACATTTGATGCAAATGCTAAACTCCAAACCTGTGTAAAGAATAATAATACTTCTTTTATTACTGGTACATTAAGATTCTGTTTTAATAAAGAATACATCTAAATGATCAACTTTTTATCTAATATGTGAACTGGTTTACTCTTATGGCTTTTTTTATGATTTGTCAAAGAATAAAACTAGTCCTACAGCAATATTGCTTGTCTCTTATTTTGCTGTGTGTTTTAAAGCCTTAAAATGTCAGTCAATTGTACACAGAAGGATTTTGCAGGTGAAAAAAAAAATGGCACATTCAATTTAATGTCCATTTCCACCTTTTTGTACGTGATTCCCACAATAAATGCTAATGTAGGGGTGCAGTGATGTATGTATGCACATTTTCATGACTCGCATTGCCAGCTTTCTTTTTTTATGAGGTGTTTTTTTTGTTTTGTTTTGTTTTTTTTAATAGGCCTGAAGCCTACACACTCAACTGGGGTCAAATTGTAAAGCAGGCTGTAAACCGCTCTCCACCCTCCCTGTGATTCTGTGCAACACCATCACTAAACACCAGCTCTGCCTTTACACACAATACACTCTGTGTGGGTGGGTGCGTGCCACTATAAATAGTAATGAATGGGGGTTCGGAGAGTTTACAGAAAACTTGGTTGTAATTTTACACAGAGACAGCTATTTCCATGAGGAGATGAAGAGGAAAGCTAACACAAAACATAAGTTTCTGTGTTCATATATAACCACTGCATATGACTGCTTCATGTGTACTCAGTGTACATTGCTGGCATGTTTTTTTTTTTAATACGTAGGTGCACTCGACTTATGTTTCCGTCTGTATGTGTGCTGGGGACTTTACTTTTTTTTTTGTATTTTTAAATTAACTATTGCTATCACATTGGGGGCTCACGAGCCTCATCTTTGATAGCACATTGGAGATGACAGGTTCTCTGTAAGGTGACACTAGGGGTCTATTAGATTCTTAGTGCCACCTTTCCAATTTAATAGCTTTATCTGGGGAAATGACGGCTGCCTGCTGAGTCAGCTAAATATAAACACAGCAGGCTGTGGCTGGTAGCAATAGCGAACCTGCTATTGGCTATTTAAAATTGCACTAGCAGGCTGGCTATTGCACCAGCCTGTCAATCAGGAAGGAATGGTTTTCTTTCAGGCCCTCTGCCGCTTGACAGCAGGCAGTGAGAGGGTGTAATAACCAGCCTGCTACTGGCAATCGCAATTTGAAATCGCATCAATTTGCTGGGGTATCTGGATTGCAGGTCAATGCATCCAAATCATTGGCTCTTAATATCAATATTCCCCAGGAATTGTGGTCTCGGTTGTCAGAACATTTTGATTTTACCTGGTCCACGGAGGCTTTGCAATATCTAGGGATTAAACTTACACCTGTTTTTTTTAAAACTATATAAGAAAAATTATATACCCCTGTTTCACCAACTCCAGGAGGATATGTCCCGATGGCACTCCTGTAATTTGTCATGGCTGGGGTCGCATTCATGCACTCAAAATGATGTTGCTC